GAGAAGACAGCTCTGGGGGTCCTTTTATTAGACAGTATAAAAAAAATCCTAAAGTGAAGTTTTGGCAAGTAAATAGGCAAATATTCAATAAAATAATCAAGTGCTGTTTTTATTTTGCTGTTCAGTGTGGAGTTTGTTACATTTTCTGCAAATAATACACAAAACAAATGCCTTTTTAGGACTGTGGGAAGTACTCACATATGACAAATGGTGATTGGTATACAAATGTGCTGAGCTGGTAATGTCTGTGTTCTCCAGAGCCTATGAATCATCTGGCAGTGCCAGTGTGAAGTTGAAGTAGATAAAAATATTTTCCTTTTCCATTCTGGAACAGAACCAGGGAACCTTCCTGGTAATTTAGAGATGATGCCCTGTGAAACCACAAGCCCTGTCCATTCTCGAAATCTCTGTCCAGTTCCAGGTATGAGCTCTGTATACTCCACCTGTAAACTATATATATTACCCTTATTCTCATAGGTGTACCCCTAGTAGAGAGGCAAAGCCTGGATTCAAGCCCTCAGAACTACATGCTACCTTCTAGCATTGTTGAAACTGCATTACCCTCCATCTCTCTGTGTCTGGAATCAGGCTGGGATCAGTTTACCCCTAAGGGTAAACTCACTGGGTATAGATGCAAAGTGACTGTTGTGGAAGTACTTTGTCTCAGGAACTGCTTCCTCCATATCCCTGTGAGCTGACACTGAAAAACGCTCATTCTAAAGTAGTTCTTCAGGGATTCTTTGAGCCTTCTCCAAGAACAGAGGGAAAGCTATTTGGGGAAACAGCAGTTTATACTGTGATGGTTATACCTTTCACAAAATATTTATGATCCTTGTATGAGCATCTGGGACACAAAACAGTTAATATGCAAACAAAAGGGTTAACTGGGATAATACAGAACATCAGCAAACATATACAGTATAAATATGATGGGTGATACACAGAGATAAAAATCAGCTTGGCAGCTCTTAATTCGCATTTCCATTCAAAAGACAAGTTCCCAGAAACAGCTGCACTATTCCCATGCTTTACCTCTCCCAGACTCATGAAGGGCCTTTGCATTTCAGGGAAGGAATGCTTCTTCCTTGAAACTTCATATATTATCTCTCTTGGGTTTTCCTCTCTTAATTGCTTTCAATCAAACCAGAGGTTTCTTTGTTGTTTGTCTTTCTATGTTTGCTTGCAGAGCTACAATTAAACACCAATTACAATTTGGATAGGTGACAATGTAATGCCATTCCAGTTTAACTGTCTTTCTCAAGTCTTGATAATGTATGTTTTAATCATAGTGACTGTTATCACATAGAAAGCCACATGAATCAAATACAGATGCTATTATGCAGTTTAAAATGATTGCCATTTTAGAATAGTAAAAAGACTGATGAAATTGATATACTGAGAGAGTTTTGTAAATCTCTGCAAAGGCACAGGAACACATTGCATAGTGCAGTGAGAGATATGTCTGCAGCTTGTTCTCATTTAAAAATCCTTACGTAGTTTCAAATATTCATCCCATTTTCTCTCTTCAAAATGTGTACTTTGTTCTTCACTTTCTACAGTGGTAGAAATGAAAGGCTAAAATTATCTTCATGGCTTGTCATTTGACAGGTTATTCCACTGGCTCATTCTTTACCTTTTTGCCACAAAGACCCTTTGAAGCTTACACTGTTCTCTCTAACTGACTTTTGTATCTGACCTCTACCAGCACTTAATCGAGGGATATTTGCTAACTTAATTAGCCAGTACTGCATTTTCTGTCAAATTGCTCCTAACCTCTTTTCCACATCTACACAAGGCCCAGATCCTCACCCATAGCTCAGCAAGGTGTAAAATACAGTTGTTCTTCTGTGACTGACCTTCATCTATTCCTCTTCTATACCCACAGAGCTATCCAAGGTGAGACAATTTATTGCCACTTTATTGACTCTTACGTCAGACTCCCTCTGGGATTTCAGTGCCACCTGGGGCTTCTCAGTGCTAGAATAACATAATTGTTTCATAAAATAACTATAGAGAAGGAAGGGAAGCAGGTAGGAGTCAGGTTGCCCACAAATGTTGAATAATGGGACTGGAAGAAATGCTGCAAGTCCCTGTAAGCTGAAAGCTCACATTAACATCTCTATTCTGCCATTACACTGTATGCTCAATGATTGTTAGTTTTGGCTGGCGTTGCACAGTAAAGATGCATTAGAGTAATTATATTGTAATGACAGAAGATCATGAGTTAAAGATGTTGTGGATCCTGTTAGTACACACATCTGAAATTGTTTGGAGCTGATGTGGGAGGTGTATCCACATGGAATTTGATAGCACTGATATTGTAATTAAAGCTGAGGAGATGAGGTTCGTACTTATTTCCTACTGCTACATGTGAATATTAATTAGCTCATGTAACCACCTGACCTTAGCAATAATTAGCTCTCTTAGATAAAGCAGAAGGGAACATATCAATTGCCCACCAAATATTTATTAAGAAAGCTGAGATTAAAACTGCCCAGTTGTGATAAGAGAAGGCTCCTGGAAGCCCAATTGCCTCCTTCCTAGTGGAAGGAAGATTAGAATCTTTCCAATTTTCCCTGGCCTCTGCTTCGTGGAGGACAAGGATAATCCTGGCACCACACAGGCAACAGAAACACATCTGGTTTGGCACACAAAGGAGTAAGAGCATCTCAGGTCTGCAGAGATCTCAGATTTCTCAAGATAGATGAGGTTTTCTATTTTCCTGCTTGCCTTCCTGCCCGCATAGGCTGTGAGGAGGAGAGGTGACTCCAGAAGGCCAAAGATGTAAGCCTGAGCAAAAGACAAGCCCAAGCCTGTCCCCAAGCCTGGACACCACGTATGTTACTCTTTCTGAGGGCTTCAGCATCACCCTCAGAGAGAAGGGAAATTATTATTTCATCACTTGCAAAGATGAGATGAAAAGGTACATAGGAAACCCATGCATTTTTGTACTGGGAAAGCCCTACAAATTAAACTAAATAAAACTAAAATTTTAGTCCCACATCCTAGCTGCCTGGCTAAGCAATCCTTCTCACCATTCTCACTAGTAGTGTAGTGTGAGGTTTGGGGATATCCAGAAAATTGCGTTCAGGAAGAAATTTGAATCTGTGGTTTTTAAAGATGGCAAGTAAAAGCAATGGAGAAAAGGAGGATTAGTTTGTATCCACAGCATAACTAGGCAGCTCTGTTTCTCTCCCTGTTAGGACCTGGTCTTGTTTGGTGTACCAGCAGCCTTCCTAATGGTTTCCTGGTGTCTCATTATAGAGTTCATATTTTTGTCCTTGTTGCATCTCCCTCTTCTCCTCCTGTCACAATTCCCTCCCCAGTCTTAAGGGTTTGATCCCTTATGATATACAGTCTGTGCAGTCTGTGTGGAGGAACAGGCTGTGTTAAAAACATGGTGTGTTCTTAATCGCTTTAGGGTTGACTAGGCAGTAATTCTCAGCAAAGGTGGTAGAGCACGATGCTGCTGTGCACTGGTGTCTGGCTGCTGCTCTGCTGGAGATCCATGAGCAACAATAGCATTGTGAGTCCTCTTTCTTCTTTCCTGACAGCACCACAGTACCTGTGCCTTAATCAGTCAGTGTCAGACAGTGTCACAGGCTCTGAACGCTCCTCTAAGCAAAGCACAGCACAAATGCCTCCCTGCTGCTGGTAGCTTAGGTTACCATTACTAGGCTGAGCTGCCTGATGTAACACTCCAGTGCTCCAGACAGGCTGAAACCTTCAGAAGTGTTGGCACCAACATGTGTTCAGACCAAGACACCTCTAGCCCTGGGCCAGGTGGTTTCTGTGATCCCAGGACTCTGTTGGAGGCTGCCACCACAGCTACCCTGGTAGTGACAGCACAGACGGGAAGCAGAGCTGCTCCAAGAGGGTTGACGAGAGAAAAAGATGATGGTTGTGATCCTTGATACAATTTTAGTCACATATGTTACAGAAAAGCACAGATTTATCTATATTTTATATGAAAATATTGCATGCCTCTTGGGCTATCTGATTTGTAACTTTTTTCACAGGTATGATTTAAATCAGAACAGATGAAGGGGGAAACCTACCCAAAGTGAAACGGTGGCATAAATAAAAGCTTTAGAGGAAACAATGGAATAGCTGACTATAGGGAATAATTGTAGCTCCATCAAAGTTACAGTGGTTTACTATTCCCAGCAGTGAGTCTGGCATCAAAGGGAATCCTAAACCTGAAGCCCTTGGAAAGAAGTGGGTTATCAGCAGATACAAACTCATTCATGTAGAGAATAAAGAGAACATTTTGCGAGTGGGACAGCCTGGTTTTTCTCAATTCTCTTCCTGGAGAATAACAGTGTTCTCTTCCTGGAGCACTCAGTGGTTAATCTTGGCCTTTCACCATGTTAACGCATTTTCCTCAGGGCCCTGTGCCTTCAAGATATGAATATATATTTTGTTGTTTGTTTGTTTGTTTTAAAAAGCATTATATAAGTTACATCTGTTCAGACAGGAAACTGATGGAAAAGTTTTCAAGTTCCATAAGCGAGGTAGAGCTGTGGCGTTAGCACTGGAGTGAACCATGTTCACCCATGGGCACTGAGTGAGTATTCACAGCACCTTCAGTAAAACTGTGGTGTTTAAATGCTTTACAGAATAAAGGCCACCAATGATAAACTTCAAACACTTCATGGGCTCCCCTGATGCCATATAGGCCTTTGCTGTGCATGGAAAACAAATGATTACTTGGAGCAACCCTGCTAGTAACAGCACAGACTGGAGGCAGAGCTGCTGCCATAGAGCTGATAAGAGGAACAGATTGCTGTGGTGACTGATATAATTCTAGCTGCATTATGTTACAGAGAATGAAGAAAGCAGGTTTAATAAGTGTGGAAATGCAGAGGAGCAATGACAACTTTATTTGATGTGTTCCAACTTGGCTGGGTCAGTCTTCCACCAAACAGAGGATCATTATGTGCAGGGCAAGGTATTTGGGGTCTCAGATTTTCATGAGGGTATTCCTTCTCTGCCCTTTTTGAACCAAAAGCCTTCCTCCTCTGGGATTAGGGGTGTGCCTCAGTGCAGAGACTTGTCTTCCATAGCATGGTCCAGCACTCAGAGTTGCCATCATATCATGCAGCAGGAAGACACATCTGTCTCCTGCAAAACATGTACACAAAAGGATGGAGAAATCAGTGGCACATTTTTTTACAAGCACGAGGCCATTCACCCATTTGAGCTGTTGCAGGATTGAGATCTTGTTTAGAAACAAGATATTCAGTAAAAATAGTAAGTTAAATTTTATTTTTAAAAATCCTATACAGATTGTAAATATTTTGGAAATTAGAAAGGTACAAAAATGCTCAAGTTCTGCATATTCAGAGGCTTCAGCTTTAGTAAAATGTTTTATAAGGGTACCTTATAATTCATTTCAGTTGCCCCAGAAGTAAGAAGACAGTGGTGTTTCAGAGGCTGATTGCAGAGGTCATAACCTTCTGCATACAATATATTGAACAATTCCATCATTCCTGCCTTCAAAGTCAATTTAGACTGACATAGCAGAATAGAAAAAAAATGCTTAATAAACTAAGGGTTTTATTGCACACACACAGTCTCATAGGTATGCATTCAGCAAAGAGTAGGCATGACTCTATAATAGGTGCACTAAAAAAAGCCATATGTTTGTATTAATATCCCCTTTCAGTACAAAGCCCCTTCCAGTTATTTTACTCTCTATCCTCATCAGCTTTACATTTGTTTGACTATAGTATTACCTTAGTAGAGAAACTTTGTCATGCAAAGTGATAAAGATGAAATTTTAGAGAATGAATCTTTTATGGGCAGTGCACTGAGCCAAGTGAGGGAGTCAGGAGACAGTGCCCTGGCAAGCACTGGCCTGTGCGTGTCCTCTGGTGAGGAGAGAAACTTTCCGTTGTGCTGCCCCTCCAGCCTCCTCAAGAGCAACCAAGGCAAGTGCTTCCAGGGGCCAGCTCATCAGCCCAGATGCTGAATCAGCCCAAGAATATTTAACTACAGCAGAAAAACGGATCACACCAGAGGATTTTCTCCTTGAAGAGAACTTCACCCTGTTCTGATTAGAGATGGAAATTTCTGAGGTATTCTTTAAGAGGTCTCAGCAGTTTCAGTGTGGTCCAAAATGGAAGTCGTGGTCATGCATTTTTCAACTCAGGCATAAACATCAGTTAACCCTTTCATATGATAAGATTTGTAAGGAAAATCTATCAGACTTTCATCCCTTTGAAAAGAACCATAGCAAAACTATTTGATAAAAATTCCCAGTCTTTAGCACCCTCCCATTCAAAGTACCCCCTATGAGAAAGAAAAGCTTTGGTACCCCTAATTTCCAGATGAGCAGCTGAACTCTCAGAGGCTTAGACCAAATCCTCCAGGTTATCAGAGTGCCTCAAAACATTTGAGAGCCTAGGCCCACCTGAGCCTCTAAAAGCCAAGATGAAGGATGGGAAGCAAAGCCTTAAATCCAAAGCCTTCATGACTTAAATGTTAATCATAAACACAGCACCATCCTTGCCCTATAGAGAAGTTCCTCACTGTAAATAATTCTTCATAACCAACAAAAAGCTAATTGCTTTTGCTTTGCAGTCTCGTTGTTTTGTTGTACAGCCACTGCAACCTTACTTTTCAGCCATATGTTGTCAGTCATATTTTTGCCTCTTATAGCATTACTGTCAGGCTCTAAGCCGTTTTTGAGTCCCTGAAATGTGAAATCATGGTCTTACTTAGTTTTCAGCTAACACTACTCCTTAGATGCAAGAATATCACATTTACCATACAGAGAGATTTATTTAAAAGCCAATTGTGAACTACACTGAGGAATCTTCAGTAAACCACAACAATAAATAATGAGAGGATGTTTGCCTGTAGGACTTCCCTAATGAGTTTTGGTCTTAGGAAGGCATTCTGCTTGGAGGTCAGATACTTTGTTTCTTGAGATTTTCATGTTTCTCCCAATCTAGCTGGGCTTTCTCTGAGGTTTCATTAATAATTGACCGTGGTGTCACTAATGATTACACATAATGTGGAAAGGCATGACCATGAACATGCCTAGGGAAAAATAATTTTATGTACAATTCTAATGTCTAGTGTTTATTTATTTGTAAACAAAAAATGTTAAGATAGAACAGTATTTTGGAAGTAGACATAGACAAGTGTGCTTAGAAAGAGACTATGGACAGTTGTGAAGTAGAAAACAGTATTTTGGTACACATTCCTTACAGAAAGGTTCTTTCTCTGAGTTGCACCTCGTTGTATTGTTAGTCTTGGGTTCTGTTCTCAAATGAATTTTCCTAAATAAACTCTCTCACTTTTTAACTGTGGCATTTGCATTAGTTCACCCTCCAAAACCCATGTTCCTTTGAGAGTGCCAGCCCCAGTCTGCTCCTTCAGTGGCACACAGGATCTAGATAATACGGGATTGTTGCAGCTATGTGAGTGAATATTGGTGCTCCCAGTATTCCATCAGTTCAAACCTTCATCACTCTGTAAGGTACACAGAAACAATTTTCCAGCACGATATTTTGGACACTATCATAAGGAGATATGTGCAATAGGAGTGGAAGTATTTACAAATATACAGGTATATGCAATGCATGTGTGGGAAGAAAATCAGTAGGGAATGTTGCACAACTTATTATGTTTGAGGGCAATGGATGCAGTTCTGCTGTTGGTCATTGAAACCCCTGGTGTCCTGTATTACATCTGTTCATATTTCCTGGTAGATTTACTTAATGCCTGTTACAAATAAGAGAGTGAAGCACTTCTTTACTTGAACAGTGAGAGGCACGAGTGTAATTACTTAGAGACTCAGGGTCCTGAGCTGGTTCATTGGGCTTGGAGAGTTACTTACTGGATGTTTCTTGGATTCTTCAGAATAAATGGATATCCAGGTAGTGGGATAGGAAAATCACCAGACTTAAGGATTCCCCTATGGACTAATCCCCATCCATCTTAAAAGGTAGCAAGAATGTACATAAGGCAGGCCACAGTTACCAGGAATAAATGTGTATGGCAAATAGGTCTGATTGGATCTTTGAAGCTGAAATAACCTGCACTGTGGTTCTGGATAACTATCCAGGAGGAAGTCTTCCTCCCTAGTTGAGATATTTCATCTCTGCTCATTAATAACCCACTGTCATACTGGGAAGAACTCTCCTTAAAGCAGAGTAAAAGGGGAAAATACTGTTGTTAGATTCCTAAATTAATAAAGCTCTCACCTGATGTGAAGCAGCCCATCCATTTACTTACTGCATACTGCAGCATGTCCTCAGTGGAGATGCACAATGGGAAAACCTGTGTTTGCCTCAGCTGCACATCTGATAGCCCTTAGGCAGAAGACAGTTTTGAAAAGCATCTAACCAGGAGCTGCACACAGTGCCTGGTTCTTCAGGTAGTGCAAGGTTCAGCAGCCAAGTTAAAAAAGAATGCACAGCTCCTTTCCTCCTTGCCTCCGGCAACATCTGCTCATGTGACAAAGGGAAAGCTCAGTAGTTCTGCACTTCAAATACTAGTCTGATGTCTGACTTATTATCAAAGTGCTCAGTAACTCTGTGCTTTGCACTTACCCAACTGTTTTAATCTCTCACAGTGCAAGCAACTTGATAATGTAATAATCAAACAAAAGATTGATGGAGGATGTAGCAAGCTCAACATATCCCTTCAGTTCTTCTACTGAGGAGTGATGGATACTTCAAGAAGTGAAGAATTCCCCTAGTGGCTTCATTGTTTTCCAGGCATCTTTCTAGATGAACTTTTCCAATGGTAAAATCATTACAAAATAGAAATGCAATCTCTCCAAGGGCTAACTAGGAAACCCAGTCTAATATATGGTGCCATAATGCAATAATGAATCCCATAGGCAAACTAGGAATTTTTGTGAGGAGAAGAAATAGGGGAAATGTTACATTAGGAGACTTAAGCCAATGTTATTTTTAACCACCTTATAATTTGGGATGTTACAAACCAAGGTCTGTCCAAAAGCTAGAGCCTAAACTGCAAAATGAAAAATCCTTGAACTCTTGAAATGTGAGCTCTCATCTATATTGTACTTTTCAAAATGAAGTGGCAGTGCTGAAAACAATGGTATATCTCTGATCTTCAAATCTTGAACTGGACTCAAATTTTACCTCTCAATCATAGCTGCAGCATGTTCTGCTTCTGTTCCTTCCAAGGTTATTGCAGGGTGCATAATTTCCCAGTTACATGGTGAAAGAGGCTGGGGGTATTTTATGGCTACATCAGAAGAAAGTCACTTCCCAGTCAAACTGAAGCTACATCAGGCCCTCTGATGAGCAACAAAATAATGCTTAAACTTACCTTACCAGAGGAAAGTAGAGGGAATTCAGGCTGGTATCATCCCCTCTGAGATGGCTTATCAGGAACTTTTATATGCAAAAATATAAAAAATTCCAGACCATCAGAAAAAAAAAATTAAAGCTTGCTGCTGGAGGAGAAAATGAGTCAGAAAAAATAAATCTTAGTCTAAAAAGCATATTTCATTTCCAGCATGACAGAGAGGAAATAGTTACCTAAATTACAGATTTAGAGTGAGAGTTCAGTCAATGAGAGACACTTGAAAGAAATATTATTTGCTTTCATCTTTCTTAGGAAAAAACCAATTGCAATCAATTATGTTGTAATTATAATATTGGCTTAAAACTATTTGTAAGATTACTCTGCATTTAATAACAGAGCTCACACTAATAGAAGATAAAAGCTCAGTTTGCCTACTTTGGAAAATAAAACTTAAGAATTGCCTTAAGTTGGAGTGAATCCAGTAGTCATATGTGTAACAACCCATAGGGATAGTTCAGGGCAATGGAATTATCTTCTACTTTTCTTTTTGTCTTTGTAATCAAATTGATATGGACAAATCCATTTTCAATTTACTATTAATTGCCTCCTTGTAAATACTAACATTTTTGGCAGTCTGAAATCAGAGCATTTCTACTGTCCTCACAAAAGAGATTACAACAGGATTCAGTGCCCTGCAATAAATCTAAAGCCAAGCCAACACAACTGTACTTGGCAATTGTACCAAACTACTTCCCAGCAAAACAGTAAACTGAGAAAATCCCACTGTTACTAAAATTGTACTAGATGAACATCAGGGCTCAAGTCCTGGAATGGAACGTGCATAGTGTGAAAGAGTTTCTCTTTTCAGAAGATTTGATAAAAATGACATTGTGTTTTACCTAAAAAAATTAAATCTGCTTTTAATCCAAGAATTATAAATTACACAAATTTAAGGGTCACTGAAAAAAAAAAAGAACTAGAGAATATAGAAATCAGAAATTACTGTAACTTTGTTACTAGACCACAACCACTTGCAAAAACCCTTTTGGGGGAATGTCTGGGTTGCCTGAACCACCCCAAAATAGGTGATGAGACAAGGAAGAACTAAAGGTGTTTGTTAGTGAGCCATTGTGTTACCTACAAGGTCACAAGAGTCAGCCCACCTTCCTTCAGCATCCTTTGAGGCAGTAAAGTAGCAATGTGCTCCAGGTGTACCCACTGACCCACCAGCTGACTGAATGGGCCTTAAAGCTCTCTTTTAAATCTTGTTCAAGTTGCTATTATTTCCTTCCTTTTTATGCAATAAATGCTACACTGCTAGGAACCTGATGTGTCCCCTCCTGGTATTGCAGCAGTCGTTATTAGGAAAGAACATATTTTTTGATCGATAGATAACATTATATATTATTGTTTATACATTTATTACAATTGTATTATTTGTTTTTATAAGCTATATATTTTTATGCATATTTTATACATTTGTCTTTTATATTACTTACATTATTTATCTAATTTTTTTTTCTTATATTATATAACTTGTTTTATATAGTGGGTAAATATATATGTATCAAGTTATATTATGTATCAAGTTACGTGTTTACTTCTTTATATTTTTATTCAGTTTGTATACATATAAAATGACAACATGAAGGCTTAGGCCCTTTCCATCTATTTGGATGGGTGGGAAGAAGAGGACAGGTGTTGGGAATTCTTTTTTTTTTTTTTAATTGAGTCAGTAATAGCTGATGCTGCTGTGTCCCAGGCTAAGGCTGTCAGGGAACTGGAGCAAAAGGTTTGACACTGCAAGCAATGCAGCAGCAGCAGCCACCTCTGGGCAGCAAGCTCGTGCTGCTCTCACAGGTGGGTGGGTGATGCTGGGGGTGTTTGGGTGGTTAAGCACAGCTTGGCCTCGCCCTGGTGCTGCAGGTGGGAGCACAGTAACCCCAGGTGAGTGACCTGTGACAGCAGGCAGCCAGCCCCTGCCCAGGGATGCCAGCTCTGCCCCAAGGGATGGCTCTGCCCCTGCTCTCTGCAGGGGGACCAGCCCTGCCCCAGCAGGGCAGCCCACACCCGGCACTTCACTTGCCCAGCGCAGGGCACGGCTAATAAGGAGGAGGCTTTTGATGTTGCAAAATTCTCCATCTGTTCCCAGGATTTCTAATTACATGCAGCTCGCTGTGCACCTCCAATGAGCCATAATTGGTAGGCGTTTGCCTCATTAATCATTCGGGTGCTGAGCTGCTCCGTGCACAACCGCAGCAGTTATGGCCAAGTGCACGCAGCCGTGCCGGGGTTTGTGTCCTGGACCATTGCAATTTTTGGAATTGTGGTGGATTCCGAGGACATTTGCAACTACTGTAGCTCAGGGGCCTTTTAATATCCTGAAATGCCACAAGATGGCACTGACTGATTCCGAGGCCCCTCTGCCCGGCTGTCCTGCTGCCCGGGCAGTGGCTTTGCCATGGCCACAGGTGCACTTTGGGCTTCTCAGGGCATTTTTTACGAACTAGCTGGTGGCCAACAGCACTCAGCTTTTCATGGTTTGTTTTGATCTGTTTTGTTTTAAGCTGTGGCTATGAAATGCTATGATTCCGTGACAGTGACATGGAGCTTTAGGATTTAGACAGATTTGATTTTCCTATGTTATATACAAAGGCTGTTTGTTTGTTAAAGGCCTGAGCCAAACCATACAAACAGAATATGAAGCCCAGGCTGCACAAGTCCACCAAGAGCTGACATTTGTTATTTGTTGCTAAGTTGGGTGAGTTCTTACCAAAAGGTAGAAACCAGCAGTTATGGGACACTAACAAGAGTAAGTTCCTCTCCTCAGGTGAAGCATTTACTGAAGCAGTACTCATAACTCTGCAACTTTGTGATGTGCTGATGTGGTTGCTTCTTTCTGGAGTCTCTTCCTGCTATCATACTGATGAGTCCAACACAGCTGCTCATTTTGCAATGTTTCTTAAGCCCCTCCTGTACTTTAGCATTCAACACTCATCTCTAGACTCGCCAGCTATCCCCAGCTGGTTCATAAAGTCCCTTGCTGCGTTGCTATAATAGTAAGGTATCGTTCACTACTTTTGCCCAAACTATGCCTTTCAGGCTGGCTGTAGCATCCTGAATGCTGCTGCAGTGGCTCATCTGACTGATGAGTAGCAGTAACTGCTTTTGAGTCCCTTTGTTGTGACACTGGTTCTGAGTTTCACCCATGTATAATGAATAGCCTAACAAACAAAATGTATTATTTCATTCCTTTATTAAGTCATTTATTACACTGCAAGTTCTTTAACTGCATCAGAAAAGTTTCTGGATAAAAATAATTTAATGTCATGGTGCGACATTGGGCTGCTTTTCAGTAAATCCATACATTGCAGAACCTGCCCAACACTAAAACAATAATTTTTTTATTCAAGAAACTTCTAGTCAAAATTCTTATTTTGCCTGGAAATTGAGTTTGTTTTGTTTACCGAAAGGGAAAAAATTCTCTTTTAAATACCCTTCTCATCTATGAGAACATACACAATGGCCAACACTGAAATACTAAAAAAACTGTCTTTCTTTAAAAAACACGATGAATCCCACATTTTTTCTGGGTTTGAATCCAACTCTTAGTCAAAAGAAAATATAGAAATAAAAAACACTGACAGTACAAACAGAGAACAGATGTTTACATTTAAACATATGCCATTCAGCAGTTAAAAAAATGATTCAGACACCAACATATCAAAAGCATATTACTGGCATATGGTGTCTGACATGCTTCTGCAAATGAATACATACACTGGCTTTGATGACAACCATGCAAATTGTATCTTTCCACATGAACAGTTTATCAGGGAACAGTCAGATTTGTGCCTGTACACGAACATGTATTTTGGATTTCTTCTGGATGACACACCACGTTGTAACCATACAGTATGTCAAATCAGGAGAATGTGTGTCAAATCATCCTCCCTCTTGTTTCCTTTGAGACCCAGGGTAAGACTTTAAAGCATGTGAGACCCAGCAAGCAGGTCTGCTTGGCAACAAGGGCCATCTGGCAGCTGTGCTGCTCAGGACTGCATTACAGCTCCAGGAAACACTCCTCCTTCTGGGACAGCGACCTTGTCTCCAAAAGAAGGGCCAGGGCAGAGAACCCTCTAAAACAGCCGGACAACACAGTGGCAAGTTTCAGCCAGCCACATCAGGTTGGTTTTTTGCCCTCTGCACTGTAGATTTGCCCTGGTTCCTTCAGTCCCTCAGCACCACTGAGACTACAAAACCCAAGCAGAATCTCCCATCAGTTGTCACAACACATTCCTCCTTTGGTGCATTTGCTAAAATCATTCCACACCAGATTACTCACCGAGCAACGGGACCCAGGAACAGCAGAGCACAACCACTGCTGCTGCTGAGCTGCTCTCCCAGAGGCTGGCAAGCACAGTGAATTGGACACAATGCACTACTCCCAATGCTCTTCTCAAATCTGACAGCTTGATCTCCTTGGCATATGGTTGGCGGTTCCAGCACATGGGAGGTGACCATTTCACCATAGGAGAAATAAGTGTTAAAGCTTATTAATATTATGGGGAATAGTCAGGCTAATATGAGGTTACACGTCAAGGTATTGTCTAGACTTCAGCATGTCTCAGGGGAAAAAGCATCATTTCAGGTGCTGGAAGAGCTATGCTGGCCAAGATTTGAGGTACCAACTCACAGATTCTGGAGGACCTCCAGGATCAGATTTAGGGTTAAGAAAACTTTTAAGATTTCAGCTTTAGAGCACAATACCTCAGTTTTGCCTGTGTTCCTTTCTAGAAAGTCGTGAGGACGTAATTGTTCAGCTCAGAGCCTGTGAAAGCGAGAATAAAATAAGCAAAGGTCATACTGAAGTTTACACAAATAGCAGCTGAGGAAGGTCAGGCTGTTGAGAGAGAGACTTTACTGTGCTCGTATACGTAAATAAACAAGGAAAAAAAACCCAAAAAGCCCACTTACTTAAAAAAAACTAAGTTAACCCTGTAGTCCTCGCTCCCCCAAAACAAGTCCAGCTCCAACGCTGATTTTGAGTTCAGGGACACTACCTGATTCGTGGGTCCTAAATACATATCTTTCTCTATTAAATAACTAACATATTTCTACATCAGAATATCCTTGAGCCTAGCAGTTGATTCATCATTTTAAACAATCCCAATTCAACCAGGGTGAGTTTCCCACGAATGCCCAAAATCAGGAGAAATGCCAAAGTGTTATTCCTTCTCTGGCTACATTTGGAGCCTAACGGGGTGCACACGCTGGTCCCACTGATGCCTGGGCAAGGCTTTCAGCTCATAGCTGCCTCACATCCTGTCACTTCAGAGCACAGAGAGCAAGCTGTCCTCCCTCCCTGGGGACAAGAGTACATCTGTTCCTCAGGCCAAGGTGCTGAAGACAGGCAGCAGCTAACCAGTGTTCAGCATAAAACTGCCAAGCAACTCAGGCTAGCCTCAAGTTGCAGGTTTGATTGCAAGAGCTCTGCCCTGACGTCTTCTGTACTTCTGGTCCCAAGCTTACTGCCCTTAAATAAAAATACTGTTAGTGTTCATAGAATTTCCAGTTTATTCTATCAGCCTCTCCCGTGTGTTCTCTCTGGTATAGAAAAGGGGGGAAAAATAGCCATATATTGTCTTTTAGTCACTAGTTGGTCCTCCTTTAAGGACCTTGTAAGACATTTTTTGTGTATTGTTTCCCTGCATATGTGGGCAGCTTTACTACTTCATCCCCCTCAGGACCACTTAACAACATCAGCAAAGCAATTAAGTGTAGTTTTCAGGAAAATGCCAGAGGCATTACACTGTCTGGATGGGAGTCTCAACCCAATTATTTTCAGCTAGTTGTGAACTGTGGAAAGTGGACTTTACTTCATTATAACTTCAGTTCCCACTGATTAAAAGTCTAGTGTGTTACAGACGGTAAGGAAAAATGAAACAATTAAACTTTCCATCAATAAAATTGCTGCATATTCTTCAACATAGGGGTTTACTTCTCTCCAGAGAAGTGATTAAAATGAACTGATTGAACTATAATTTGATTGACTGAAGAGCTGCAATCTATTGCACTAAAGCTTAAATTCCATCTTATTGCTCTATTTAACTCTGAATATAAAAAATTACTGGCAGTCTTGCAAACCCCTTATGCAGTCATCCAGCTGAAATTTCTTGCTGCTCACAGGCTGCAGCAGGTTCTGTTCTTTCACTGCTGTGTCTGCATGATTCACAATGGATTGACGTTGAAAAAGACACAATGATACCTAAGAAATTACATTAATACAGCCATAGAAAAAACCAGAAAAGGCCTGTTATATTATTAGGTATCTTCCACCTGTTACATAATCATCTGGGACTTCTAAACACAACCACAGATAAAGTTAACCCAAGACTGGAGAGAATAATTGACAGGTTATATACAGTTGTTACAGCAAAAATTAGCATATTCTCCTGACGAAAAATGCAGCTGTGTTGCACCTTCCTACTGCAGAGCTGTGTTCAGGAAGGTGTGAGGCTGCCAGATGCACAGGTTTGCAGATGTGCATGCCTATGCACGACTCTTTCCTTCTAGGAGAGACCAGAGGTGCACGTTGGGTCTGGCCTTGAGTTTAAGTTGTGCTGGCTGTGAATCAGGATGCCTGGGTTCCAGTGCAAAGACTGTTTCTTTGGACTAAGGACAAGTTTTTATAGTTTGCTTAGACTAGAAGGGCTTCATCTGCACAGGTGAAGAAGCGTGCTGTCAGGGACTCCTATTGCACAGTGAGGTCTAACAAACACCACTTGAGAAACAATGAGCTCCTGGCTTCTGTCAGTTGGCTGCTATGATGTTTTGATACAGGAAACACAAAGAATATCGATGCCCCTCTAAAAATTTAATCAAAATGCCATTTCCTATCATGAAGTTGCCCCTCTGTTGTATGACACCTGTCTTCTCTATTCCCACCTTTTTATTTGAAACAAAGCACAGTATTTGACTTACAGCTGCACCATAGTAGGATTGAGTAAGAATATAATATAGTATTAAGTCACAGCAATAACACCTTATATTGGTAATTAAATGCATCAGGCTGGGTAGGATGTGTGGTTAAAGATGGACAACATCTGGGTTAAATACTTAATGCACTTCCTCTAACAGGCAGCTCAAACTCCAAATGAATTCAATACATTTTCCCACTAACATCACCAAGAATCAGGGCATGTACTCCTTGATAATATTTACTACTGAGCTCAGTTTGCTGTGGAGCTTTGCACTTCTGGCTGTGACTGATCTATGAGGTGGCTTCGCAGCTGCTCAGGCCATGTACGTGATTTGTGCCAGCTTCAGCCCTTGCACACTGCCCATCTCAGTTTTACAGGGATGTCAGACCACAGGCAAGGTCTACTAATCCACTAAATTCTTTGGCCTTGTTGTTTATGCATAGGGCAGACCACAACTCTTCCTGTTTGTTAGCCAAAAGCCACCAGAACTGTAGGGGAGTCCCTGAGGCAGCATCGATCTGAAAAAATGCTGCCTCCACCTAATTTAGAAGGAACACCTTTGACAAATTATATTTGGCACTTAATGATTGTCTTGCATTATTGGCCTTTTCTTTTGTTTCCTCTTTCGATTCCTAATTACTACCCATGTTATCCTCTACTCCTCCTCGTCACAGGTAACTTTGAATAAAGCTGTGCAGCAACAGTAAGAGGAGCCTTTTAAAGGGAGACAATAAGGCAAATACAGAACCAAAAATTTGTAGGTGTCTCTGGAGGCTGTAGAATGTTTGCTATGTTCCCTGAGCCCAGCTTTACACACACCAGTGTAGCTTAAATGCCTACTTAAAGCTTTTTAGTCTTTCATTTCTTACAAAGACAGATAAATTCTCTCAATTATCGCACCTTTGCATAAAAACTGCAGAAGAAGGTGCTGTGTAATTAATATCTTGCTTTCTTGCAGGATGAGAAAATGGCAAAAAAAGGAGCCCTGAGTGTGAAACTAGCCTTGAGACTTCTCTAATTCCTAAATGGGAATGGCTGTTTGTCTTGCTGACACGAGTCGTAAGAAATCTGAGGAGAGTGCAAACAACATCAAGAGCAGGGCAGGACCTTCTTCCAAGCCCAGCCTGTGTTGGCACATGAAGGAGGAGGCACAGACATCTCTGGTGACCCAAGGAATTGCTTAATGTGGTTCCCTAGAGAAGTGTCAGCAAGTGCATGGACAAGAACTGGCCAACAGTTCCAACAGACCCTGCTGGCCTGGCACACCAGGGGAAAAGTGAGGAATGATTCAAGCTGGATCTGTTTTCCATACCCGTTGGCCTCCTGGCAGATGCACAGGAATAACCATTCGTAACTACCAGAAAGAATATAATTTTGCTACAGATGCTGTAAATCACACATGTGACTTCTCTGTCTTTGTTATGGAGAGGCAATAGAATTTTCTGCGTTTTAACAACAAGTTGATTTCAAAATCTCCAGTTACAAAAATACAGAAAAATGTATTCATCAGCAGATTTATGTTTGGAAAAGAACAGCATTTTAATTACATAGATACCGTAACTCCCCACTTTTATGGAGATGTGATTACTGCAATTTCTTCATTAGGTAATAGCTTCACTATTTAAGGAAACATTATTTAAAAGGCATGGTGTTATCTAGTTATTCTACACTGTTAAAACCCCAGCAAAATGTAGGCAAACACTTGAATACTTTCCTCCTAGCAACCAAGGTCTCTCACATCAGAAAAGCAGCATATTTGTCTTTTTTCTGTACCTTATATTAACCCACATTTCTAGTTTGTGACCCTTTGGCCAGTCAATATCATCAAGTTCCTGGAATATAATTTTAGGCAAAAGCCTAAACCAGTGACTAAATCATCTCTTTGTTCAGTTTCTAAAACAATTTAATTTTTTTTTCCCCAAAATACCACACAAGTAACAAGAGTGCCCTCAGCTTTAATGTTACAGGAAAACCATCTACCAAACTACCCAAAATTACTTTGGAACAAAATTCCACATTGGATACATCCAAATCCCTATGTGAATGTCTCCGTCAGCACTACTTGCATGTAACAGGGACACATTTTCAGACTTTTGCATGTCCACTGGCAGAAATATCACAAAATTAATTTTTGGCACTAAACTTCTTTACATTTACTAACCTGCTGCATGACTTAACTCTTCAAATTACAGCAGCATTTCACAAAGTGCTGAGTTTCTGCAATTCCCACTACAGTGAGTATAAAACACAGATACTGAGTACTCCCCTGGGATTTAGCTCTGTCTTTCAAGGCTGTGATAACGGTGCTGTTTTTGCTGAAGAAATTAAGGTTTCAGATCTCTTAAGGTCTTTGTGGAATCTGGGATCCAAAAAACCCCAAACGAACCAGAAAATACACTACCAGAATCCTCTCATTCTTTCCATCCTTCTTTCCTTACATAAAGGTAGGTCCTCCTTTCTTTCTTTTCTTATCTAAGGGAGATCTATGGTCTCCTTGCTAACTCTTCAAGAAAAACAGAGGAGCAACAGGGAAATCTGTCTTCCATGGAAAAGATGAAAGATACAGCTAAGTGAGAGGATGTGTCCTTCCCGACACGGTGTGGTCAAAGAGACAGCTCCCCGTGACTTTTCCCAGAAGAGTTCACAGAAAAGTGTCCAGAAAAGTCCCTGTTCTCCCCAGCAGCTCTGTGAACAGCAGGATATACTGCAGCACTCTGGGCTGCTGCTGCCATGTCATTTCAGTGCCTGCGAGGTCAGCTGAGAGCGTTAAATTAACACTGTTCCCAGGCAAAGCAAAACGTCTGGGAACAGGATGGCACAGCATAATAATGGGGAACGAGGGGCAGATCCACACCTACATGCTAAAGGATGGGAAGGAGTGGGGGACATTGATGTGAGTCTGATTTATGTGACTTAGTGCCAAATGTATGTTATCACACAGATCTCCCAGCAGATTATGTGTCTCTTCACCCCCACTGAACATTTTCATAGCTTATTTCAGTATTTTTGCCTTTGTTTCACCCATAATAATTTATTTATGAGCTTAGGATTATTAACAATTTGAGGCTTCATTATAAACCATCCCGAGGGAATCTCACCTGCCTCATCCCATTACATTATTATTCCCAAATATGTAATTTATATTTAATAAGACATCAATTGAACATCAATAAAATAATAATGAATTAATAAAATATAGCTTCCTAGAAATACTAGTAGCTTAAGTATGTATGCAAAAGGCAGTGCACAGTCTGTGGGTCAGCTATCAAATCTCTCTGAGACTATATCTCAGAACCATTTAGTATTTAGAATATGATAATAAGCCATAAAAATATTTAATTGCTATGGTCTTCAAATAGTTCTTGTGATAATTTTGACCCATACCAACCTGTGAACCTGAGCTGGGAAGTAACCAAGAGTTCCACATAGGAAAGCCATCTTCAAACACTGTATTGCCTAAGGGGCTCCGTGTTTCCACAAACTGAAATGGCAAAAGAATTTTAGTT